TGTTTTTTATTAAAATCATAAAATTCCTATTTTGTACTCTGTAGTATTAAAACGAAGCGTCGTAGAGAAAAACATTATTAACAAAATATGTTTGTTTTTATGTTCTCTATTTCCCCTCAAGTTTGTCGGTCTAATTTTTTTACACTCTGTATGTATATATATATATATATATATATATATATATATATATATATGCAGAGTGTCATAAGGTTTGTTCTTTTCAATTGAATTAGTGCTGCACTAGAACTGCACTGGTTCGGAACTGGAACTGGCGAGCAAAAGTTCATAGGTTTAGACATGCCAGATGGAAAAGAACGCCATAGTGCAGGAAACAACATGGCGCAACACATAATTTTAAATGCAAATAATTCTTCAGATGAAGAATTTACTGTACTTGCGTTAATGTATGTATCTCAATTGCCCGCAGAACCTATCTGGGATATTGCCACCTTCATTCCTTTTAATTTCTGCAATATTAATCTCTTCCATCTTCATAGATCTGTTCTTTTCACCTGAACTACTTGCACTGGTACAGTAACTTTTACCCTTGCACTGCACTGCATTGCTTGCATTAGTTCCAGACTCAGTGTAAACAGTTCAGTAAACTGTTTCACTAAGTTCTGCTGCACCGTTGGAAAGAACAATAACCTCTGATGTCACTTCTGCTAGAAAGAACGCATTAGTGTACACTTCTTGAACTAGTGCAAGAAGTTCAGCTGGAAAGAACAAACCTATAGAATGTCCTCCGCAATTTTTATGGGAACAGATTGAGATGATCATAAAAGTCCCATATGCTTGTGTACAACCAGTGTGCGCACCACAGGTATATGAAGAGAAGTCCCTACACTCAGTTACGAGTAAAGGACTATAGATACTTATGATCACATAGATTTTTAGGTATTAATTAGAGATTTGTACGTGTATAATCATGTAACTATTTTCTTTCGTTAATAACTAAAAATTTACATATTTATTTGCAAAATGATAGTAAACTTTTTTGTTCAGTTTGACCTTTACTGTATAAGCATACGATAGCACACATCACCACTACAGCTCATCTACCATATCGCGCGTGATTATTCATTAGTCTTCTTTAATCTTGAGATTATTGCAAATATCGCAAAAGTATGAGACTTTAATGTTCACCTCAATCCGTTTCACGAACGTTGCAGAGACGTCTGGAAGACCTTGTGTATATATATATATATGATAAGAAAATATAAAGTATATAATAAATTATATTATAAAGTACGAGTATACATACACACGCGCGCGCACGGAGAAAGATATTTGCTGCGTTCAGCAGAAATTAATGTTTAGTGAGCTTATTGTCCGCAATTAAAGTATATTCTTAGAATCTTTGATAGAGATCAAGATGAATATATCAATCAGATACAATCAGAGTTGTATAGGTAAGTTAATATATATTTTTAACTCTATTAAGTTTGAAGTTTTTTTAAACGCTTATAAAAAGTTAACTTGAATAAGTTAAAAGTCATATTAATATATAAAAACTAATTTAATCGAAAGTTAAAATTTAATTAATTTTTTAAAGTTAAAAGTTAAAAGTTAATTATGCAAAGTAATATGTTTTTTGCATGATTAACTTTTTAGTTATAGGTTTAATTTATGCGAAATAATGAGAAGGCAGTCTTTTATTAAAAAGAAAAAAAAAATATCGATATTTCGATATTTTATAAAAAAATATGTTTCGAGCTTAAGATTCTATACAAGAGAGGAACACCGATACTCAAAGAGACTACAATAAATTTTGCTAGCAATATTTTTGATTTTTCTTATTTTACATTATAAACAGGCCGCAATTATTTTAATATTTCGATTATTTTTATTTATATAAAAAAGTTAATAAGTCAACGTGTTTAAAAAAATAATTAGTTTAAGTTAAAAGTTGATATACTTAAAATTAATTAAGTTAAGAGTTATTAATTTTTTAATTTAACTTTCAGCTTATTTACTAGTTATTATCTAATCTTGGAGACAATAGACATAAATTTTTTGTCTCTTAGTTTTAATCTTTGAAATTTAATGTTATTTTAATAGTGACATATCAAATTTGTGTAAATTGTGTTCAAGGATTTTGTATTAAAAAGTGACTTTAGCAGGAAAATTAAAGAGTCTCTTGTAAATAACTAGAAAATTGATGGAAATTCAGTTCTTTTTTCGAAATAAATATATCGTAATTAAATATCTCAAGAAGCATTCTATTAAATGATGCAGATAAACAGGTCAAAATATTTCAATTCTCAGAGATATTATGTATTATATCTTTAAGGACACACTGAGGCTCAAAGAGTTAAGCGTTTATTTTTGCTGAACACGGTCATTCGCGTCACGAGAAGCTCGGAGAAGCAGAGTTCCCCGCTCAAGGTCGTGTGGCGCTATGGGAGCAAAGTTCGTTGCGATAATTTGCACAAAGTAAGCCGTTCTCGCGCGCGCTTGGACGGTTACCAGCTGCAAGTATGGAATAAATAGAACGTGGACGAAACTTTGACGTTCTGCTACTGCGAAGCGATCGTCGCGTGCGCGCGTATGACAATTCACACTGCATCTTACTTGAAAATATCCGGCTTAAAAATATCTCGTTTGAAAAGGGTCGGTTTGAGCGAAGGTTTGCGCAGTTCGTAATTCGCAAGTTGCATCTCAGAGATGTGAGCTTGCAATTAGTGCGAATCGTGTATAGAACTTCCGAGCTCGCTGCGCTCCCACCTGAAACTTCTCGAATAAAGTTGATTCTCGGGTATGTACCTTGATAACACCCACGGCGACGGTCTGACGCATGTCGCGGACCGCGAAGCGGCCCAGGGGCGGAAACTCCTGGAAGGCCTCGACGCACATCGGCTTGGTCGGCTGCAGCATCACGATGGCGGCGTCACCGCTCTTGATGCTCTTCGGGTTCTCCTCGGTGGTCTTGCCGGTACGGCGGTCGCACTTCTCCTTGATCTCCGCGAACTTGCAGGCGATGTGAGCGGTGTGGCAATCGAGCACTGGCGTGTAGCCGTTGCTGATCTGTCCCGGGTGATTCAGCACGATCACCTGGGCGGTGAAGTCGGCGGCGCCGCGGGGCGGCTGATTCTTAGAGTCGCCGGCCACGTAGCCGCGCCTCAGCTCCTTCACGGAGATGTTCTTCACGTTGAAACCGACGTTGTCGCCAGGCAGGGCCTCCGTCAGAGCCTCGTGATGCATCTCGACCGACTTCACCTCGGTCGTGAGGGCGGCTGGCGCGAACGTCACCAGCATACCTTGAACACGCGGCCTCGGATTACGATTACGAACGTCAATCGCGATTTGATTCCAAGAGAACTCAAGTTATTGGTCCTGAAGGAGGACTGAAATTAAATTACTTAGAAAGTTTACAAATTTCATTGAAAATTTTTGTTCAATAATCTTTGTCGAGTAGTGAATTTGTTGAATTGAATTTATAAGTCAACAAAATTGTTCGGTTCTAAAGGAGAACCAAAACTAATAAACTCGAAGTTACCAAAAAATTTACGAATTTTATTGGATTATAAATTCCGTGCTAATAATAAAAATTAGCATAATCGTGGCGACTGGAATATTCTCGTACTACCATCAATATTTATATATCACAGTAAATTTAAATATATAGTAATTAATTTACATATTTAAAAAATTTTTAATATATAAATAAATGAATATATATATATATATATATATATATATATATATATATATATATATATATA